GAAGACGGGTCGCGCTGGAACAGCGCGAGCTCCTTCCTGAGCCTTTTTTTTGTTTTCCCCATCTGGGCCTGCAGGCCGAGGAAAGCGTCATCATGTCTCTGGATTTGCTCGTCCAACTTGTGACTGACATCGCCGATCTGCTTCTGCAGGAGCTTCTCGATGTCGACAAATTCTGGTCGGATGCCTGCGGGAGAGGCGGCGGCCGCGTGAACTGGCGTTTTGGAGGACGCGTCGCTGAAAGGCTAGATGCGAAGTCGATGGGGGCCACGGCAACAGCGGCAGGTAGGTCCCTTGGCAGAAGCAGCAAACTTATCTTCGCACTCTTGCTGGGGTCCCCCAGGATCTCGCGAGTGTGGCCGTGGACCGTTTCCTCGGCGTAGCTGTTATACCAGTCGTCTTGCGCGTTGTCGCCATCTGTGCTTGCCGCAACACAACCATACCCAGAGCGCAGATCGCCATCTTCAGCTGCAGCAGCACGGACAAGTACGCTTTCATCGATAAGAACGGCGCGTGAGGCTTTACGTAAGGTGCTGCACCTCCTGCGTCGGGCACTTTCGATCATCCTGACTGCAGGGCACAAGAACCACGAGCCCACAACCCATTCGTGAGAACGATACAAATCACCAGACAAACTCCGCAACCGTTGAATAGACAAGCAACACCCAAGGCAAATAACAATGCGTGAAGAGCGTGGCCGTAGAGGTGACCACGGGAAATCAAATAACAAACCACGGATCAGCAGTATCCACATGGTCCCCCAGGAAGCAAGCATCTTGAGCCAACATGGGTACGGAGAAAAAGGGAGAAGGAGGAGAAGAGGAGGACGGATAAGTGAGAATGAGATTTTTTTTGGAGGGGAAGAGGGGGGAGCGGACACATCAGCACGATGACACACTCGGCAACGCAAGCGTACAACCAGTGAGAAACCTCAAACGCCGTGCAAATGCAGCGTCCTGCGATCGATGGCCTACATAAATGATCACGGTGCGGAGGCAGACTCCAAACTCATAGAAGAGGCCGCGAGGAATCGCGGATAATTGAAACTATGTGCACCCCGCGGAGGGGAACAGGAGCAAGTACATGAGACCATAATGCGAACGCGGAGCGATACGAATTCACCCCATTTCGTATCGGTGAGACCGGGTGGAGAGGGGAAGGACGAGCAGGCGCAGGAGAGCAAGAAGAAAGAGAGAGGCTGGGACCGCGAGGTGGCAACCTAAACGGTCGCAGCTGAAGGTCAAGACATTGGGAGACACACACTGAAATCCAGAACAGTGCACGAGCCAACCTGCCATAGGCGAGCACGTGCCACTGAATGAAAACAACGCACCGTGCACTGGAGGTTGCATGTTGTACCGCCAGCCGTGCACACCCTCATAAGTGAGAATGAGATTGCCAAGATCAGGAAACGGAGAAGAGAGAGAGGAGGAGAGGGGAGGCGCGAGCAAACGAGCAGCAATGCTTCCGAACGTGCGATTGCACCAGGCATGAAGCGTAAGAGGGAGGTCAGTACTGCCGGCGGGAATCCCATCCCGTTGCATCCAACACGGCTTCACAACGGAGTATCAAGGTGTCCTCTTCCTCTTCCTACTCGTCGTCTTGCCCCGAGATGCTCTGACAACGCTGGGGGCTTCTCCGATTTCAAGATTGGCATTATTGTTCTATGTTTCGCGGGCCGTTGTTTCTCCGTTTGGGGATTGCCGTCGCGCCGTTTCGGATCGTTGCGCGATCCGTTTCTAATTGCTTTAAATGTTCGACTTTGTTTATGGTTCCCGTTTTGTGCCATTTGTTTGTTGTTATAGGCTGTTGGTTGTTGTTTGGTTTGGGTTGCCGGGGTCGTTGTTGATTTGATTTCGGTTGTCAAATGTTTCTGCCTTGCTCTACCGCAAAGCGACAAGTTGAAACTGGCAAGAAACGCTCCCCAGCGCTTTGAAGAACAACCAGGGTTCTGCCCACTTTCTCTAGCTTCAACGCCGACCACGTTCGCGACCTCGTCCTGGTCATCCTGCCCTTTCTCCTCTTCCTCCTGCGTTTCCTTCTCTCTCTCCCCACTCCCCGACGTCGAGTGCGTCCTCCTGCCTGACAGCAACTCAGTGTGAATTCTACTTTTATCCTAATCCAGCCCGAGCGGGGCAGCTTCTCCCCCGCGGGCGCTCTCAGGATGTGAGAATGGCGCTCTTGCCCCACCGAGGGCCTGATTTTAGGATCGGAATCCTGTTGAGCCATTGTCGCCACCCGCTCCCCTCCTCCGCCTCTCAATGGTCCTTCAGCTCCTCCCGTTCCTGCTACTCCTGGCCCTGCTGTTACGGTCTCTGCTCCTCTTGTTCCTCCTGCTTTCCCATCCTCCTGCTTATCCGCCCACCCCCCCTTCTCCACCTCCTCGAATGTACACAGCGCTCACTATTGCTTGCGAATAAAGCGATGAGGTCAACGTGTGGGTCCCAGGTCCGCTTTGGCACCCGTCGGAAGCTGTAGAACAGCAAACTAGCACAATGGGCAACGAGAGTGGATGGATGGGAGTGCTATGATGTCAGGTCTGACGCGAGCGCGCCTGGTTTGTCATCCTCTTCTCTCGTCGTTATCATCGCTAATCCTCCTCCTCGTTTTCCCCTCATCCTTTTCCGCCTCCTCCTGTTCACGTTTCTCCTCCTCCTCCTCCTCCTCTTCTTTCTCTCCACCCACGGATGGCTGTCGGCAATATCAGAGGGTGCGAGCAAATCAGAATTGGAGGTCCAGCGTTCGCGTGGACCTCCAGAGAAGGAGAGAGAGAGAGAGACAGACAGACACTGATGCTGCGTGCAAACTGATCCAAAGGGCGAAAGATCATCCAGTTTGTCCTAGCCGCTCGATCCCTTCCTGATTCAGGGAGGCGCCCTGGCTGCTGGGTAGGCGGGGTCGGCGGGGAGGGGGTCAGGCCGGTTCGGTGGGAGATGAGAATCTAAGTACGGACCACGGAAATGCCATACGCACCCTGGTCCGAGAGAGAGGGAGAGAGAAAGAAAGAGACAGAGAGAGATAGGGAGAGACACGGAGAGAGAGAGAGAGAGAGAGAGAAAGAGAGAGAGAGAGATAGAGAGAGAAGCACCAACACACACAAACACATACGAGCGACAGGAGCGTTGGCCTTGGCAGCGCTGGCACACACACACACAAACACACATAAGAGCGACGGGAGCGTTGGCCTTGGCGGCGTTGGCCGGCCCATGGAGTGGGGAGCGAGTTAGCGTCTAGCAAGGGCCTGCGCCGTCAGGGGGCGCAGTGCGGCGTCTGCAGCCGGTGCCCACTGTTGTGCGGGTAATCATTGCATGCTCGTGGAACCAGCCTCCCGAGCCGGGCGTGACGCAGCCACCCAGTGCCGTGGACCCCCTGGAAGCGAGGCAGTGGCGAAAGCGAGAGCAGGATCGGCCACGGGGCGACACGCGCGCCCGCCCACGCACCCCACACAGGTGGGGGGGGATGCCTGATGGCTGTCTGCACGGCTCGCGGGAAGGGTGCGACTGTTGACGGCTGGCTCCCGGCGCCAGCACGCGCGGAGCTCACACGAGAAGGGGGCATCTTCCGTCGATCGTCCACCACAACCAACTCCAAACGAGGAGGCCACGACGCGCCAAATGCGTGTCGACAACTCTTCTGAAACAATAAGATGAGATCGAAAAAAATGCATGGGCGCAGCATGCATTTTTTCCGAGGCCCCCGAAGCGGGAAGGGGTGCCAGCGTCCGTGCCCTTGGCCATCGATGCGGGAGAGGCCGGGGGCCTGGCGCGTGGAGGACCCCCGCGGGCGCCGAGGGCGGCGAGAGCGGCCCGTCCACCTCGGCAGCTGGTCCTGACCCCCCCCCGCGGGGGACAGCTCGAAGAGTCGCGCGAGGTGCGCGGGTGGCTTGGCCGGGGTCGTGCCCGTGTCGAGAAGCCCTCGTGTGGGGGCCGATTACTGCCACCCTCCTCGATGCCACCTCCTCCTCCCCCCCCCTCTCTCCCCGAACGACCCCCTGTGCTTGGCCACGAGGTCCAAGAAGGTGTTCCTACTCCCCCATCCTCCTTCTCCCCGTCCCCCTCCTGTTCATACCTCCCTCCTCCTCCTCCTCCTCCTCCTCCTCACTTCCGCATTCCTCCACCACCGCCTGGTTCCTCATCACCGTCCACCTGCCATTCCGTCTTCCCTCACCCAGTCCGTCCTACCTCCCCTCTTCGTCCTGTCTCCCCTTCCTCATACGCCATCCCGCTTTCACCCTTCTAATCCTCCTCTTCCTACTCAGGAGTCCAAGCCGCATGTTCACTTCTTAATATTATTTCTGTTGCCTGCCGCTCTCATCCTGCCTACCGCTTCGCAGTCTCCTCTTCCCCCTCCACACCACTTCCCTCCGTCTTGCCCTTTTCCATCCTCGACCGTCGTCCCATCCACCTCTTTGCTTTCACGCTCCCTTGCCTTCTTTTACCCCTCTTCCTCCCTTTCCAATCCCCCATCCGCCCCTTCCCCTAAAATTGTCTCAACCTCCTCCTCACTGGCTCCGCTGCCTCCGAGCAGCTTCCCCTCCCCCTCCCCCTCCCCCTCCTACTCCTCCTCCTTCTCCTCCTCCTCCTCCTCCTCCTCCTCCTCCTCCTACTCCCCCTCCTCCTCCTCCCTGTCCTCCCCCTCCTCCTCCCACTCCTCCTCCCTCCCACTCATCATCCTCCCATCCCTCGTCCTTCTCATACGTAACTCCTGTTTCAGCACGAGGCGCGTCCGTATATCAAGCTGAGCGTACGTCCTTACGTCCCGCTGCCCCTCCTCTCCTCGCGCTGGTCTGGGAGCCGCGAGTCTGCACGGTGAGGTGTGCGGTGCCATCGCCTGGAGCACAGAGCACACGGCTTGCCCAACGTCTGGCGCTCGCATGCCCGTGCCGAATTATGCCCGCTGCGCTGTGCGGGGCAGCGATTACGAACACAGTGCCGCGGCCCTCCTCCTGCCCCCGATGGTCCCGGCCGAACAGGGAGCTCAACGACAACCACTGCCCCGCGGGCCTGACGCGCTCGGACTTGAAATTCCCCTGGTAGCTCGTCGGTCTCCTGAACCCCTCGTCTCTCGGGGGGGCGTCGGTCAAGTTCCCGTGGTCCCACTCGAGCTCCTGTTGGGCGTCGTTGGAATGGGGGGCGATGAAATGGGGGGGAGCAAGGTGCACTTCTCGGGCCCTACAGGGCCCCTCAAGGGGCCCTGAAGGGCTCTTGTTCTGCCGCCCTCGCTGCCCCCCCCCATGTCGAAGAACAGCAAAAACCAAACTCACAATGAACACCCCGATTAGCGGAGCCATTCGTAAACGCACCGAAGAAGTAATGGAACGAAAAAGGATTGTTTAGGAAAACCCAGGGCCGTGTAACAAACACCAGTTAACGGTGTCGGGGCGTTTGTTTCCTCCCTTAACAGGCATCGCCCCCCCAACTACTCAACGCCCGATCCTGGATGTCGCCGATCACCTCCGGCACCTGGGCGGGGAAGGGGCCGCGATGCGGAGAGGGGGCCGTACGCAACGCGCGCACGCCCTCCGCCACAAAACGGCCACGGGCCGCAGCGCAGCCCCTGGAAAGCCTTGCATAACCTGGGGCACATGGGGCGAAGGTAAGATTAACCAAGTGAGACCATTTTCGGGTGGATGGCTGTATACAGCGTGAATACATAGCCTTTCCGGTGCGCGATAGTAGTCCGTATGACTTGTCGAAACAAACTGATCATATCCTGGTGTCGACCCCATGGAACCCGAAGGGGTTGCAGATACGACGTTCGCTCCATGTTCGCTCTAGCAGCCAGCTGGCTGTTTTAAGCTTTAAGGACGGGTGTCGCCGTGGGCTGCCCCTCGTACTCAACACACCACATGTAGCGTGCTGACACGGAGCGCAGCGCGTAAACTGAAACGGTGGGTCTGGGGCGATGCGTTCGCCAATCCGTGGGCCAATACGTCGAGCCAACGCGCAACGTATTGACACGGACGTATTGAGCAAGGCACGCGCTGCGTATCAAAACGGGCGTATCGGGGCAGCTCGGATGCGGGCGCGCCGTTTGTCCTCGACGCGCCCAAGTGGACGACGCCGACACCACGGCAAATCCTCAGCAAACCCGCGTCCCCAAGATTTCTTGAACATCTAGCGGCCCTCGTCTCTGGAGCTCGCGCTGGGCAGCTGGAGCACTGGGAAATCCTGGAACGTGTCGATGGCATTGCTCCAGACCCCCCTGGCAGCGGACGAGAAGGAATGGTTCCGCAGGGATGTCAAACTGGCCCCACGAGGCTCGACGAGGGCCCCGAGAGAGCCCAACCTTGCCGCAGGCAGGGCCCCAAAACTGCCCCCAAGATGACCAGGAAGGGACCATGTGTTCGTGCACGCGCGGGTCGAGATCACACATGCACATTTTTCGTCGGCGGCGAGGCGGCGAAATCAAGCTAGAAGGGGGCACTGACTAGCGAATTGGCTGGCGGGCAAGGAGGGGTGGGGGGCGGCCGAGAGGAAGAAGGGATACTCAGACGTCGAAGAGTTCGACGGTGAGCAGCCGGGGGGGGGCAGCTGCAGCCAGGCGCGCAGGGCCAGAGCGCGGTGGGCGGCCGTGGCAAACCACGGTGGCAAGGGTGGCGGGGAGTGGCAGCCAGCCGGAGCTGGGAGAACACAGGAAACACCGCGGACATCGTACCGCGGCGCCTCGAGGAGAAGGCACAGCCCTGAACCGTACGGGGGCCGGAGCAGCGGACACACATACACACACACACACACACACACGCACACACGCACACACACGCACACACGCACGCAAACGTACGAAGGGGGAGGCTCGCGTGTTACAATCAGCACGCAACCCTGGACAATGCGAAGCAAGCAGCGAGGGAACTGTTTCTGGTCTCGGTACGCCTCGGCCAAGAATAAGCTCCTCGAGCTGGACCCAAAGAATCTGCCCGGAAACCAGAACCCCTCCTGAACCCAAAGTGGTCCTCATTATTCCAGCGTCTTGGCTCTAATCCCCCTGGGAGCCCACCTTGACTTTCTCCTCCTCCTCCTCCTCCTCCTCCTCCTCCTGCTCGCCCTCCTCGCCCTCCTCCTCCTACTCCTCCGTCTTCTCGTCTTCCTCCTCCTTCCTCCTCACTCCTCGTCCCCTTCTCCTGCCGCTGGCCATTTGAAACGCTTGCTCTCCCTAGCGCTTCGATCATGTCCAAACAATCACTCAGGTGGCGCCCTTGCCAAATGGCTCCAAAAAGCAACCAGGAACCCGAAGACGGTTTCACTGAAGTCCCTGGACAAGCAAACATTATCACAACCCGCCGATTTCCGTGTATCTTCGGCGCTCACGATGGCCCCACGATGGGCTCCATCAGCCTCCGAAGGGGCCCCGCAGGCCTTCAACAAACCCCTGCTTGGCCCAAGATGCAAAACATATGGTCCCGAGATGACTTCCCTTGGGTTCCCCGAGGGCCCCGTGAAGAACGCTCACGCCGCGGCCTGCGGAACCACGCCAAGCCTGCCCGACGGAGGCCCGTGCAGCTGCTGACTCGGCCCTGCGTCATCATAGATCTTCTCGCCTGGACGTCGGGAGGAGTGGCTCAAACCTCTCGGACACAACCTTCTCTGTCAGGTCGCCGCGAAGCCACACACGCACACACACACACACACACGCACGCCTCCTCGTTGCCCACGTCCCTAGAAAGGACGGATGATGGGGGCAGCGGAAGAGAGAGGCTTGATGGGGAGGAAGTGGAGGATGAGGAAGATGGAAGTAGGGAAAGGCCAGCGACTCGAACGTACGGGAAAGGAGGAAGAGGATGGAACATATACTGAACAAGGCGAAGGGGGAAACGGGACAGGAGGAGACTGATGCGGGAGGGCGAGTGCGGCGGGGGGGGGGGAGAGGAGAAGGCGGGAGAGGAGGAGAGGAGGGAGGAGGGTGGGAGGCGGGGGGGGGGGGGTCAAGGGGGAATGGGAAGAAGCAGGAGGCGGCGCCCCAGGAGGGGGAGGAGAACGGCGAACGGGCAGAGGGGGGGGGGCAGGTCGGGGGCCTCGTGCTGCCAGTAGTTGTCCCAGAAGCTGCGGGAGAAGCCCTTCGCCTCTCTGCACGTGGGCCCCTCGCTGAGGCACGCGCACTGGGAGCCGCCGGCCCGCGGGGCTCTTGGTGTGCCACGAGGCCGCCGCGCGCCCCTCCTCTTCGCTGCTTGGCCACATGCAGTACTCGTCCTCCCTCCACCTCCACCTCCCCCTCTTGTTTGCCACTCTCGGAGTTTCGGTCCCCCGTGGCTAGTGACAGTAGCGTGGCCCTCGTTGCCCAAGCAGTGCTTGCACCGAGAGGCTCTTGCTTGGCTGGCCCTAGCAACTGGATGGGCATGGCGGGGTTTCGGCCGGTGCCTGGCTGGTGGCCGCCCCAGGGCAGCTCGGGGGCGCCCCCTGCGCTGGATGGGTCTCCGAAGGCTGCGCCGCACTGGCGCCCGTGCTCGCTCGCAGGCGCCCCGCGGCCGCCCCGTGCGCTTACACCACATGGCTTGCACACCAGACGCCTTGCACCACATGCCTTGCACCACACAGCTTGCAACGCACAGCTTTCTCCCGCATAGCTCCCACCACAGATGCTCCACGGCGTAGCGTGCACCAGCACCAGGTAATTCACAGCACATAGCCTGCACAACATAGGTCGCACCACACAGCTTGCGCAAAGTAGCTAATTAGCGCACAGCTCACACCTCGTGGCTTACACAACCTAACTCACACCAGACAGCTTACAACACGTAGCTCACACCACATAGCTCACACCGCAAAGCTTGCACAACATAGCCCACGCAACATACGTTACACAACATCGAATTCATCTCCACAGTGCCATATCTCACTGTGTAGATTCCACAACAGCTAACATTCGTACATCAAGTGCTGTATCGATCGACACGCCGACTTGGCTTGGTGGTGTGCTATCAAGGCGCCCCTTGGACATCGGAGACTTGTTCTCGAATTCGTGGTCAAGTGCGGTATCCAGATGCCAAGTCATGCTCCTCCTCTCGCAATCCTCCCGCATGATGCCTCCGGCTCCTCCCTCCGCCTCTCCTTCCCTCCCCACCCTTGCTCCTCGTCCTCCTGATCATCATCCTCCCTCTCCGGCTCCTCCTCCTCCTCCTCCTCCACCTCTCCTCCAAATCACCTTCCTTATGCTTCCGCAGCGCCCCCTCTACCCCCCTTCTCCCCCGTCCCTTCCCTCGAGGCGGCACGGCCGGCAGCGTGGCGCAACCGAGGCGGCGCACGGGGCGCCCACGAGCGCACGGAGGCGGCACGGGGCGCCCACGGGCGCCCCACGGTGCGGCACGGGCGGCACCGTGGCGCAACCTCGGCGAGCCCATCGAGCGCACGGAGCGCCGACGAGCGCCCACGAGGCCGCACGGGGCGACAGCGCAGAAACTCCCCGAAGAGCCAGTCCAAGTGCGTAAGAAAAACGTTGGCTGGCGTTGGCCTCGAAGTGTGCGTTGTGGCATTGTGTTGTGAAATCTGTGTGTAAGCTATGCGATGACAGCTTTGTCGCGTCGTGTTAGCTATGCGGTGTGAACCATGGAGGTGCAAATTGCCGTTTAAGCTATCTGGTGCAAGCTGTGTCGTTCAAGATCGGCGGTGCCAGTTGGACGTGCAAGATATGGGTATGAGCTGTGCGGTGTGCGCTATGCCGTGAAATGCATGAGGTGTAAACGATGTGGCGTAAGCTGCGTGGTGAGAGCTATGTCGTGAAAGCTGCGTCGTGCAAGCGCAGCGCAGGGAGCGCCCGCGCTGCGCTACGGGCGGCAACGTGGCGCAACATCGGGACATCCACTCAGCGTGCGGGGAAGCCCACGAGCGTCCTCGAGACAGCACGGGCGGCAACGTGACGCAGCCTCGGTACCCCCCTCCGCCCCCCCCCCCCCCCCGCACACGTCAGGCGAGGGGCACGGGCAACAACGTGGCGCAATCTCGGCACTCCCCCCAAGCGCGGGGCGTCCAAGCACTGCTGTTTGGGAAGCACCAAATAAGTAGCACCCCCAAGTGCAAGCACTGTGCTGGTAAGACCTGTACATATGACTGCCTAGATACAGATATGCCGACATCAACATGTACGCTAACGCGGACAGATGCGATGTGGCACGTAACCAGGTAGTCGTCCTACAAGTAGTTGGCGGGAAAAGAAAAAGAGAAGGAGAGAGAGAGAGAGAGAGAAGGGGATAACAACAACCGGCACAAGCATACATCCCCCTAAAAGTAACTACCGAATCCTATTCTTATATTTTTATTACCCGGAACCCCCCCACACCCACCACAAACCGGACCACCACCCCCTAAGACACCCCAGACGCCCCTGCCCTCCACCTAACGAACGCCCTGGACGCCCTTTCGGAGTCCCGGCGGCCTTCCGGGCAGTTGGACGCCCCTGCCGATCGGAGCCCACGGGCCCAAAACGGGCCCCAAAACGGCCCATCAGCGTTCAAAGAAGGCCCAATATGGTTTCAAAACGGCCCACGAGGCCCCCAAGACGGTCCAAGAGCTCCCAAGAGGGACCCCCAAGAGCCAAACATCGTCCGATTCCCTCAGGAAACATATGCTTTTGAAGATATTAGCTTTTTCCGCTTTCACAGCGCCCACGGCATCCCCAGAGACTCTCAAGATCGCCCCAGGACGCCCTCCGAGACCTCTATGAGCGGCCCCAGGCGGCCCAAAAGAGCTCCAAAACGGATCAAGAGAAGCCCAAGGCGGCCCAAGAGGGGCCCCAGAGGGCCCCGAGAACTCCCAAGAGAGTCCCAAGAGAGCCACAAGAGGCCTCCAAGAGTGCACTCTTAAGACATCATGTCGCAAAAGGGCCCCCGAAAAGCCCCTGGCTGGCCCGGCCTCCCAAACCGGCCAAAAGAGGGTTCCGGGACAGCCCAAGAGGGCTCCAAGACGGCCCAAAACAGCCCCAAAAGGAGTCCTCTGGTCCGAAGAGTCACCAGGAGCTCAAACGCGAGCCAACAACGTTCCAATATAGCTTCCAGCAGTTCTCTTACACTCCGCGATGCCGTAGTTCGCAGGACGGTGGTTTGAAAGGACTTCAGAAGCCCCAAAAGCGTCCAGGACCCCTCCAGGGTGGGCTCGTTGCGCTCCCGCAGGCCCGCCTATCCTTCCCGTACCACCATCGCCCTTGGCATCTTTCTCACTCTGACGGTGCCCTTCTCCTCTCTCTGTCTCTCTCCCGTCCCCCTTTTTTCTGCCTTCCTTGTCGACCTTCACGTCCTTGGCATCGGATGGCCATCCTCATTCGCCCGCTCCTTCCTCTTGACCTTCTCCCCGTTTCTCCCCCCTCTTCCCCCCTTCCGCCCCTTGAGCCCCCCCCTCCCCCTGCTCCCTTCCCGTTCCCCGTTCGTAGACAGGTGCCATCGCAACTGTTTGATGCTTCGTCGTGTGCCAGCACGTTCGAGCGTGAAAAAATCACCCTTCCCTCCCCACTTCTGCGCACAGGCGTGCAAGCCTATCGGGCGAACGTAGCGTTAGCAAGGTCCAGGGATAGCAACAAAAAATGAGCCAGTCGCCCGTCCAGACCTCGACGTCCCCTCTGCTGAAACGCGCAATGTCTTATTGTTGTGTGTTCCGAGAAGCGTCCGGAACAAGGCGCATGGCGCGAAGCGCCAATGCAGTCTTGTATATATATATATATATATACATACATTTATACAGGTGTCTCTATAGGTATACACCTATATGAATGAGTAGATACAACAGGGAACGGGCAAGGGGGCGACAGAGGGGGGCGGCAATAGCTTGATTGAGACGTTGGACGTGCGGGGAAGCAGCTGGAGCGGAAAGGTGGTATACACAATCATAAATACACCGACGTATGGAACTGTCGAAACGGGGACACATGCAACGAGAGAAAGAGTGAGAGAGAGAGAGATGGAGAAGGAGAGGGAAACAATCAAATCAAACAACAACAAACAACAAACTGCAACATGTGAATTCGAAAGAGAATGGGAGAGAGATGGCTGGACAAAAACCCACGCACCCCCAACAAACACATGCCAAACGAAACGTGTGTCCGACAGCGCTTCCGTGACGGGCTGCAGGATGAACACCTGGCCGCGACGCGCGTGGAGACATGTGCAGCAGCTTCTCCCCTCGCCTGCTCCACGCCGCCACCATGGCCTTCTTGTCTCCCCTCTCTTGCCTGTCCTCTCTTCGTCTCGCCCCACCCTACTCTCCCGCTCGTCGGCGCCCCTACCCCCCCTGCCACCATCCCCCACCCACCCCCCTCGCCACCATGCGTCCTCTCCCCCTGTCTCCTCATCCCCCTCGTTGCCCTCCTCCAGTTCCTCCTCCCTCCCTCCTGCTGCTCCTCCTCCTCCTCCTCCTCCTCCTCCTCCTCCTCCTCATTGTCCGCCTCCTCCTCCTCCTCCTCCTCCTCCTCCTCCTCCTCCCCTTGTCCTTCTCTGCCTGAGGCGAGGGAAGGGGGGAGCGATGGGCGAGGAGGAGGCGCCGACGAGCCTCGGAGACAGTGCTTGGGCGGGAGGAGGAGTAGGACGAGGGAGGACGAGGGAGGAGGACGAAGGAGGACGCACGGAGGAGGTGGAGGGAGGAGGAGGGAGGAGGGAGGAGGAAGGAGGGAGGAGGACCCACGGGCCACTGGACGATAAGAGATTTCCGTGGTACACCTGTTGGCAGATTGGATTTTGACGTGCCTACTGTTCCGCGGAACCCATGGCCATGGAAAGGGCTAGGTTGTGCGAAGCAAGTCCGCGAACTAATCCTGCGTTATCCCCAATTCTACTTGGGTCACCGGGGGGGGGGGCTACGAAGAGGGGGGAGGGTTATAAGCGGATGCTAAGGTGGTTTCTCCCTGGTTTGAACTAGTAGCCACGCGGGGTTGATGTAGGTACGGACGCATACCAAACAGGACCTCCCTTACGCGCTTGTAGCCTACCTACTGCGCCGTATAAGCCAGGCTCGGCCGCATACTACGTACATGCGCATCTGAACACACAATGCACCCTTAGCATCCATATGTAGCCCCATACCCTCTCAACAATCTCCGCGGTGCTCTAAGAAAGATGACGGAGCGGTGGGGATAAATCGGATCGTGATGGATCGGGAATCTCTGGGAGCTTGGGGGGGGGGGCTTGGGGGGGGGGGGCTGGAAGATGCATCGGGCACCGCGGGCGTTTCAGAGCGCTGCGCAGAGCCCTGCGGGCGTCCCGGACCGCTCTGGAGCGATTTAGCCACATCCTAGGCCTGCCTGACATTCTCCCTTGCGTGAACGGGGGCGCCGACACCCGCTGCGAACAGCGAAGTTCTAAACTGTCTGACGTCAGACCAGCTGCGGCTCTCGGGGCACACTCATGATAACAAGTGCCACCCCTATCAGATCAAGAGAGAGCACGCCAAGGGCCCTGGGCAGATGATCTCACCGTGCATCGCGAGCCAAAGCTCAAAACCCCATGGGGGCAACAACATGCATCGTGAGAGGTCGAACTTTGGCGAACGTGGCAGCATGTGCGAAGCCAGGGAGGGGACGGGGGGGAAGGCCCAGGAGGGAGTACACGCACAGATGGGGAAAACAACTGAGCGAATGTGTGTCGAAGAGAAGCCGCGGGCACCCCCGCCGGCAAGAGGTGGGCCGCCTCGCGGCCAGAAACAAGTGGGGCGAGACGCATCCCGGCTGTTGGCCAGAGGCTGCGCCCGCGACGTGACAAGAAAAGCAGCGCGGCGTGCCCCCAAGCTTGTGCCCCACATGTCCCAGCAAGAACCAGCACCAGAACCCACCCCCACAGAGGGCTGTCAATGATCATGTACTGTCGACCATGGACCTTTTGTGCTAGAATGGCCACGTGCACTCTATCCGCCTACCAGCTACCCCAATGTACACACAGTATCTCTCTCTCTCGCCTTCTCTCCCTCTCTCTTTCTCCAGATTTCGTTCAAGCAAGTCTCGAATCTGGACTGGTCCCTGGGCGTTTTATGGGATCTTCCCTCCTCGTACAATTGTCGTGCACCTCGACCTGGACTACTGCTGAACAAAAACGCTGCGAGCGAAGCCCATGCCCTTAGCTCTACACGCTGTTCACTCTGAGCAGGGGCGTATCTCGGCATGGCTCGGTTGCAATGGAGAGCGGCAGCGTCGGTCCTTGCAGGGCGGAGGCGGCCAAAGTACAGCACCCCTGAGGCCACTCGTGCGCCGAAGAGCCCATGGGCGGGGTGCGACCGCTGCCGGGGCCAATCCCGGAGGAGGCCAGGCCGGCTCGGAGCAGCCCCCCCCACCGCGTACATGTACATGCTCAGCGCGAGGATGAGGACCATGGCGCAGAACCACACAATGTCCTGCTGTTGATTATCTATGCAGATGTCGCCGCACAGTTTGTTCAGACGCGCGGCCTTGCGTCTTAGGGGGGGCGCCTCGGCCACCAGCGCAAACGCCGCCTCGGACGCAGGCTTTGTCGTGGGTTTGCCGCGGTGTAGGCTTCGTCTGCCTGGGCGTGTTCGGAACAACAGGCGCGGCGACATATGCACACACACACGCACACAGAAATGAACGACACCAAGCTCTGCGCATCCTCCGAGTGACGACTGTGGCCGCGATGGGGAAAAAACGGCGCGAACAAGGGGGGGCCGCGGGGGAGGGGGGCTCCCAAGAAGGCCCCCCCTCGCATCCCCTCGCTTGTGCGCGCGCGTTGCCGAACAGAAAAAGAGACCTTGGGAGCGGACTTCTCCAGAGATGGAGGGGCGGCGCGCGCCCGCGCGCCTTGTGCACGCCACGTGTGGCAGCCCCCCGCGGAAGCCTTCCCCGAAACCCTGGCGGCCGCGATCCTCAGACCGTCCCCGGCGGGCCCCGTGCCGCGCAGCCCTGCTCTCCCGCGGGCCCCGTGGCGGCTCGAGGCCGCCGTGGTCTCCCAGCCGCGAAGAGACAGACCAGCAGAACCTTAGGTCGGGCATGCCCCCCTACAGGAAAAAATAGCCCAAGAATATTCCAAAATGTTCACAAACAGTCCAAAACATCGTCCCCAGACTATTCCATACTATGTTTGAAGATTCCCCCTGCAGAGGGACAGGCCCGACTTAAACATAAACATGATCCTCCGGAGATCCAGCGCGGATGTCTTGGATGCGCGCTGGCCCCCCCTCCGCGGCGCGCAGAGCGCGCAGTGGGGCGGCGCCACAGGCGTCGCCAAAGGGGCCCAGCCTCAGTCCAAGAAATTCCTGCGGACCTCGTGGAGATGCTGATGTCTCTTCTTCGGTCACTGCACGACCCTCCAATGCCGATGCGTCGTGCGACGCGGTTTGGGAAAGGACGCAGACGCGCACGCACCCGCACGTGCGCGCGTGCGCAGGAAACGCCCTCGTGCGTGCGCAGCGCGGGAAGACGCTCCTTACGCGCATGTCCCCTACTGGATCACCGCGGAGGTTGCTAAGTGGACAGCGGTGTTTCAAGTGACTGGTGACGTGGGTTGCGTAGGGCCTGCATTCGCCAAGAAGTGCATTGGCGAGTGCCCTCGGTGTCCAAATGGGCTCTGCAACTCCACCAAGAGGGCGGAGCCCACTCAGCCCACGTCTTCAAACCCCGAGGCCACTTAGGGCAATGACTTGCACCCCACTTCTAAGCGAGGTCAGGCGAGACATAACCGACCTTGGCGATCACGTATAACCGCGGTGTTCAAAGTAGCGTGTGCGCTCGCGTACGCGCTGAGAGCCGCCCAGCCTCGCGTGCACACCACGAGGAGTCGCTCCCTGCGCGCCGCGGGGGTCCCCTCGACACATGCCGGCCCACGGCAGGACCCCCAACCTGGCCGGCCCAATCTCGGGGACTGCCGAACACAAGCATCCTCCGATATGAGTTTCCAATTTGCGGCCCCAGAGTTCCCACTCCTTCCTAGGGGCTAGTTTTTCGCCCTGGGGTCCGAGAACGGCCCAGGGGGCCGAAAGGACAAAATCGCCCAGATGGCTTGTTTAGAACACTGAAGAGTTCGAGGTTTTAGGAGCAATGCCGGCAGCCTGGGCTAGACGACTCGAATTTCCTCTCCACGGCTGCCGGTCAGGCAGCGCCGCAGCAGGCTGCTGTAAACTGCGGCTTGTCCCGCAAGTACTCAATCCCAACTCGTGGGCCGCAATCGTTTGCGCAGCTCCTTCGCAACGCTTCCTGAGCTCTCGCGCAGTGTTTAGGCAGCTCCTCGACAGCGATTGCTAGGCTTGCACTCGGCGCCCAGGCAGCTCCCAGCCAGCGCTGCCCAAGCTCCGGGGAAACGACCAGGCAGCTCCTAGGCAGCGCTGCCTAAGCCCGCGCGCAGCTCCTGGGCAGCGCTCCCCCAGTCCCCAAGCAGCGCCTAAGCCAGATCCGTAAGCCCACCCGCAGCGTTCAGACAGCTCCCAGGAAGACCGTTCTGAACTCGTGCACATCTCCCAGACAACTGCCGTCCGCGCGCACGAACGCCCGCCCGTACATCGATGCGTTGCTATCCGGGTCTTGGACTGCACACGTGTGCCCCAGCTTCCCGTGGTTAGGAGCACACATGCTCCTCCTGCTCCTCCTCATCCTCGCTTCCCCGCCTCTCCCTCATCGTCGGTGCTCCTCCTCATCGTCGGTGCCCCTCCTCATCGTCGATGCTCCTGCTCATCCACGTCGTTCATGTCTAATCGTGCTCATTTCTAATTGTGCTCGTTTCTAATTGTCCCTGGCCCCCTAGTGGCCAGGAAGAGGCCCAGGATAGAACAATTAGAATTGAAAGGATATTGCCCCCTCCCAAAGATCGAAAAACTTTCGAATCATTCGAAATTAACCATGTGTCCCTCCCTTCCTCCCTGCGTGAACGAAAAGATCCGCGCCGAAGAATCCCCCGGTCGTCGTCCTTCAGCGGCGGGTTGCGGTTCAGGAACTTGCACCCGGTGAGTGGCACCTCGACCGCCCCGCGGGGCTCAGGAGGAGGAGGAGGAGAAGGGAGGGAGGGAGAAGGAGGAGGAGGAGGAGGAGGAGGAGCAGAGGAGCCGGAGAGACATGACGAGGGGGAAGAGACACAATCATGCGCTGCACTGGCACGGCAACGATGCTCCGAACAAGCGTGATCAACAAGTATGTGACAAAAAACAAGTGTGAGAAAACACAGGTGCGATAAAAAATCAACCGTGATAAAACAGCAACGAAGCATGACGACGAAATGTCGGGCGACACGCCCGGCCCGCACTCTCGACGCGTCTGGTGGTGCGGCGAGGGAGGCTTGTTCCGTTCGGGGATGATGCCATGATGCGAGCGGCCCAGGGCCCAGGCACCGTGCCAGGAATTCCCAAGTACCAAGCGGTCCTGGTTTTGGGAGCCCGCGCCTCTCGGGGATGGACAGACCTCCCTTTAGTAGAACGTGGTTTAGTGAAAACGACCTCGGGCCCAAACCTGGCGGGCGCAAGCCTGGAAAATAACGGCCGCGGCGCCCTCTCGAGAACCGAAAACGGACAATTCACTAATCGACGTGTCACTGTTGGGGGTTCTGTCCACCTCCGAGCCTCACTACCCGTATCTCTTGCTCCTCTGCTTGGCTTGGTTGTGAGGCAGAGGGGCTGGCGAGCAAGACGGACGGGATGGGAACGAGGAGAAGGAGGAGCAGAAGGAGAAGGAGGAGGAGGAGGAAGAGGAGGAAGTCTCGCCTTATTCGAGTTGGCTCCGAAAGCGCGCGCGCGGCCCAGAGGGGCACGGGGCCCAGGCGTTTTACGTGACAGAACCCCGTGGTGAAACCCGCGACGGGCCCGCGGACAAGGCTCACGGCAACCTGGCAGCGGGAAGGCTGCACAGCAAGGCGCAAGGCTGACCTCCTAGCGAGGTTCGGCTGAGCAGCGCCTCTTGCCCAGCGTGGATCTCGGGGGCGTCCAAGAGGGGGGCGCCCAAGAGGGGGGGGCGCAGATCATGGCCGGCGGCGTGTGCGCGGCCCAGAGGGGGAAGCCGGGGACGCATTGAAATAAGAAGAGGCGCCATGCAATCTGGGGCGATATCATGCCCCCCGCCATGATCTCCCCCCCCCCCCCCCTTGTCCTCACCCCCCTCCTGGCCGCCCCCGAGAATCAGAGTCGCCAGAGAGTCTGCCTGGGCACCATGAGGCACCATGAGGCTGCCCGTCCTCTGCGAGGTGAAGAGCAACGACAGGCCTGCACAGAACGGGCCTCGCAGAGGTCGCCTCCTCGTTGGGAGGGGGGACGCGGGACTGCGAGAAGAGATCCTCCGGTCACAAAACACCTGGGACCAAATCCGCGACAGCATGGCAACGACGGATTCTGCAGGTCTGCGCAGCTAGCGCAGCCTCCGACAGGCCCGCACCACTGGGACAGATGCGACGGGCGATACGGGCGAGACTCTCTCGTCTTTTCTTGCTGGCGGGCTCGCACTCATCGACGAAATGCCAAGGATCGACTGTGGCCGTGCGATCGCACGCGCTTCAGAAGACGAGCGAGAAACCTGGGTGCTGTGCAGAGCCCTTCTCCACCAACCGAACCTCCCCGTCCATCGCCCGAAAATCATGGGGCCAGACAGAGAGCGGCCGCTCCAGCGTGGGGGCCCAAGGGGACCATCGCGAGGCCGAAGGGGTCGCACAATACCGCCCTCCTTTCGTCGAGGAGCCACTTGCTGGACTCATGCGTCGATGCTGCGTCGAACTTGACTTGGGTCGAACTTGAGTAGAAGCAGAATCGAGCTAGACTTAAACTGGAATCGGACGGATCAGTAAGGTGGGTTCGCAGAAGGTCGCCAAAACGAAAATCGAACCCTTAGGTCAAGGGCGGCCTTCTTGGAGGACCGGCCCAACGGAAACCCCATCGCGCTCAAGACAGAGCGGTTCAACCTGCACGGTTTCCCCCGGGGCCGTAGGCGACCCGAGGAGAAGGAGGAGGAGGAGGAGGAGGAGGAGGAGCAGGTGGAGAAGGGGGAGGGGGAGGAGATGGGGGAGGGGGAGGGGGAGGAGAGGGAGGAGGAGGAACGAGGAGGAGGAGGAGGAGGCGGAGGAGGAGGAGGAGGAGGAGGAGGATGAGGAGGAGGAGGGAGGACGGAGGAGGTGGAGGAGGAGGAGGAAGTGAAGGATGAGGAGGAGGAGGAGGAGGAGGACGAGTCGCCAAAGCCCTTCTGGGAACCCCCCCAGTTCAACCTCCCCGCCGGCAAGATTGACATCGTGCTGGATGCCAGGTGCGCCAACCTGGTCGGGGGCGGCCTTCTTGGAGGACCGGCCCAACGGAACCCCCATCGCGCTCAAGACAGAGCGGCCAACCCCCCTGTCAGGTCGACCTCTCCGTCGGCAAGATTGACATCGTGCTGGATGCCAGGTGCGCCAGCCTTGTCGAGGGGAAAGCCCCAGTCGGCACGCAGGCATCAATGAGAACACCCGCCATGAGGCTTCAGAGCCAGGCTGCCCAGAGCGCAGAGAAGCAAGGAAGCTGTGCGCCCCCTGCTTCGAAGCCCCACCACGGAAGTGGGATGGGCTCCGCAGCAAGGCGCAATTTGCATTCGCAAACATCCATAATCCCAGTTGGGGCGCTGCGCACGTATCATCGGAAGCTCCAACACACAGGTACTCTGTCCGCCCCAGAGCTCAGGAAGCAGGGAATCTGTGCGCCCCCTGCTGCGATGCCCCACCGCGGGAGCGGGATGGGCGCCACAGCGAGGCACAATCCACATTCGCAAGCCTCCACAATCCCAGGTGGGGCGCTGCGCATCATTGGAAGCTCCAACGCACGGGTACTGTGTCCGCACCGCGGGCTCCACAACATGAGAAGCACGGGGAGAAAGGGGGAGCACGAGGGGAAGCGAGGAGAGGGGACGCGAGGTGGAGGCAAGGGGGGTGGGGGCAGGAGGGGCGACGCGTCGAGGAGAAAAAGAGGGGAACCTGCTCACGTACATAATGTAAATATGTCGGCATACGTATAGATATGTATATGTATATATATATATACAAGACTGCATTGGCGCTTCGCGCCGTGCGCCTTGTTCCGGACGCTTCTCGGAAAAAAAAACAATAAGAGCCGGAAAGGGCAAATACTCCGTTGAGCGGCTGTGTAAACAGGAGGATTGGCGTCGATGGGTTCGAAATGGAATAGCGCCGAGTGCGGCAGCAGTGCATGACAGCGAATGACGGCTGTGTCCTCATCTGCTCTTTCCGTTGGCCGGTTTGAATCGCCCCGTTGACCTCCTCCTCCCGTTGACCTCCTTGTCTGTGGTCCGCCCCTCATGGGAGGAGGCATGGAAAGAAGACCGCTTGATTTGTCATTCGCCACCTCTTATCCTTACTCATTCTTTCCTCCTCCGCTCCTCCTCTTCCGCCTTCTCCGTTGGTAGAGCCCTGATTTGGAGTAAGTAGAGAGCGGTCCCTTCGAACGCCGACGAAGTGCAGTAGATCCGAGCGAACTCGTCCAGAGTCTCTGGGTGCGAACCACTCGTTTCCATGACAACGACGACGAAGACGACGACGACGACAACGACGACGACGACACGCCATCGCATTTTACAACAGGGACAAAATAAACGGTAGAACATGTACGCGCCTGGAAGGAAGCCCCCTTCTGCAACCTGATGAGTGGTCGCTTCCTGAATGCCTGGAGGGGTCCTGGACGCTTGTGGGGCTTCTGAGGTCCTTTCGAACCACCGTCCTGCGAACGACGGCACCGTGGTGTGGAGCTCCTGGTGACTCTCCAGACCACAGGACTCCTTTTGAGGCTGTTTTGGGCCGTCTTGGAGCCCTCTTGGGCCGTCCCGGAACCCTCTGGTGGCAGTTTTGGGAGGCCAGGCTGGCCAGGGGCTTTTCGGGGGCCCTCTTGGGACACTCTTGGGGGCCTCCTGTGGCTCTCTTGGGGCTCTCTTGGGGATTCTCGGGGCCCTCTGGGGCCCCTCTTGGGCCGCCTTGGGCTTCTCTTGATCCGTCTTGGAGTTCTTTTGGCCCGCCTTGGGCCGCTCATAGGAGGCTTCGGAGGCCGTCCTGGAGCGATATTGAGAGTCTCTGGGGATGCCGTTGACGCTGTGAGAGCGGAAAAACGCATATCTTCAAAAGCGTACGTTTCCTCAGGGAATGGGACGATTTTGGGCTCTTGGGGGTCCCTGTCGGGGCCTCTTGGACCGTCTTGGGGGCCTCGTGGGCCGTCTTGGAACCATATTGGGTCCTCTTTGAACGCTGATGGGCCGTCTCGGGGCCCGTTTTGGGCCCGTGGGCTCCGGCAGGGGCGTCAAACTGCCCCGAAGGCCGCCGGGACTCCGAAAGGGCGTCCAGGGCGTTCGTTCGGTGGAGGGCAGGGGCGTCTGGGGTGTCCTGGGGGGGGAGGTCCGATTCAGGGGGAGGGGGGGGGCGCCCGGGTAATTAAAAGATAAGAATAAGAAGAAATTCGTATATAGAGAGGGAGAGAGAGAGAGAGAGAGAGAGAGAAAAAAAAAAAAGAGAAAGAGAGAGAGAGAGAAAGAAAGAGAGACACGCGCGCACACACAAAAATATGACGTCTGCGGCGCTCGGAGGGACGGACTTGGGCAACGGGAGGATGTCGGGCCCTTCATGGGGCCCGAGAACTTGCCGAGCCCAGCGCGTCCCCAAACAGACAGACAGCTCCTGAGCCCCTGGGCCCCCGTCTATCTCTCTGTTTAATTGTAGACATATCTACAGGTCTCTCTCTCTCTCTCTCTCTCTCTCTTATCATATATATATGTAGATATAAATATATATAAATATATGTATGTATATATGTACACACACATATATCCATTTTTTCTTGCCCTCCTCATCTTTCTAAACTAAATGTCTCTCCCTCTCTCCCCCTCTCGCTCTCCCTCTTCCTCTTCCGTTCCCTGTCTGTCCCTCTCTCTTTCGTTCTCTCTCTCTCTCTCTCGTTATCCCTCCTTTCTTTTTCTCTCTCTCTCTCTCTCTCTTCCCACCTTTTTCTGTCTCGTTCTCTCTTGTTGTTGTTTTTGTTTGTTCTCGCTCTCTCTCTCTCTCTCTCTCTCTCTCTCTCTCTCTCTCACCCAACATCTACATATACGTAGCACCCCGCAACTGCGGATAAGAGTGAGGGGGCGGGCGCGGGCGCGGGTCAACGATCAATGACGAGCCGGCGGACCTCGTGGCCCTCACCTTCCCTGTCGATGGCGCCCTCCTCCTCCTCCTCGTCCTCCTCCTCGTCCGCTTCCTCGTCCGCGTCCTCGTCCTCATCGTCGTCGTCGTCGTCCAGCTCCTGCTCCTCCACCTCCTCTTCCTGCTTTTCCTCCTCCTCCCCCTCCTCCTCCACCTGGAAGGAATTCAAAAACAGCCCGCCGCAGGCGCCGAAAATTTCGATTTGTACACTGAACGCGGTTTGGGTCGCAGGTTCTCCACCTAGTACGAATGCAAAAGAAACCCGCCGCAGGCGCCGAAGTTTTGGCTTGTTCAGTGAACGTAGTTTGGGTCGCGGGTGGGTTTCCGGGGCTCTCCACCTCCATCTGGAAGGAATTCAAAAACAGCCCGCCGCAGGCGCCGAAAGTTTTGATTTGTACAATGAACGCGGTTTGGGTCGCGGGTGGGTCGCAGGTTCTCCGCCTGGAACGAATGCAAAAGAAGCCCGCCGCTGGCGCCGAAAAATACACACATACGTGTATGCATATATATTTATATATATATATATATATATACATAGACATGTATGCATGAAATTCCTTATATATATACAAGTAAATATATACATACAAGTATATGTGCAGCTATGTGTATGCATATGTATGTGAATCGGAAGTCAGGGGGTGAGATCGCAGTGAAACGGAGAGCCCCCCCATGGGGAAATTGTTTTCGGTTTCGTGCTCGTGCCGTGCGTGCGGGCGAGGCGAAGCTGCGTGGGTGGGCGAGAGGAATGAACCTTCCTCTAGCTAGGGCGCCGATGGGCGAAAAGGCCGCCCGCCCCCGGGTTGTCAGGCGCTGGCCGGGAGTATCCCGCGGGTGTCTCGCTGGTGTACCCGTCACTGTCCCGTCGCTCTCCCATCGGCGCCCCGCGGGTGACCCGCTAGAGTCCCGTCGCTGTGAATCGGTGCCCCGTCGGTGTCCCGTCGGTGTCTCGACGTGAGATCGATAGTGAGATCGATCGCGAGATCGATAGGTGGATATATAGTGAGGTGAATGGCGAGATCGATCGTGATATCGATAGTGAGGCCGATAGAGAGCTCGATAGTGTGATGGATCTTGAGATCGATAGTGCTAGCGATAGTGAGACTGATGGTGCGATCGATCGTGAGATTCAAAGTGATATCGATAGTGTGATGGATAGTGAGATTCAAAGTGAGATCGATCGTGATATCGACAGTGCGATCGGAAGTGGGATCGATAGTGGGATCAACAGTGAGATCGATAATAAGATCGACATTAAGGTCGGTAGAGAGACAAGTTGTGAGATCGATTGTGCGATCGATAATGGGATCGGTTGCGAGATCGAACATGAGATCGATAGTGATATCGATCGAGTGGAATCGATCGTCTGATCGATCGAGTGAGACCGGCCGCGAGATTGGTCGTTCATCGATAGCGAGTTCGACTGAGTGATACGTTGATTCCCCCCCGAACCTCATTATCACAAGAAGGGTGGTCGTATAGGTACCTATCTCGAAGGGAGAACGGGGGATTCTGGCTGGAGAGAACGAGAGAAAGAGAGAGAGAACGAGAGAAAGAGAGAAAGGGAGAAACAGTGATATATGTATATAATTGCATTCCGTCCACACACATCTCTATATCTATACAACTATGTGCTAATTAGAAGAATACAGAAGGGTGATCCAGACAGAACGAGAGAGGGAGAGAGAGAGAGAGAGAGAGCGAGCGGGAGAGAGAAATATATACAGAGAGAAAGAGAACCAACCAGAGATGGCCATCGAACCTCGACGGGCTGCACGTTCTCGACCTTCGCCCTCAGGTACGGGCTCAGCAGCTGGTGGTACAGGTCCTGCGGGAGGACCACGATGAAGAGCAGTCCTGCGCACGGGTGGGCGCGTGGCTATTCGACCAGGGCGGCAGCGCACCACGCCGGGAAGCGGGAGACGCGCGCGTGGCTGCGCGCGCGTGCGGACCGTGCAGAGGCCTCTTGCTGGCACACCCCTCTGGCGCCGCGGCCACGCGCGCAGCAGCCGCGGCGCGGAGAGGTCCAGAAAGAGAGAGAGAAAAAGAGAGAGAGAGAGAGAGACGCGCCGCGCCGGACACACACGTGGTCGGCGGCGGGCCGAAGGGGTTTCAGCACTCCCAAGGGTTAGGTCGGGCGTGTCCCCCTACAGGCGTATTCTGGACGAGAAATTAAACGACAGCCCCGAAAATACGCAAGACTAGCCAAACAAGATACCCCAAAGATCGTCCCCCGACCATTGTTTGACTATTTTTGAATACTCACCCTGTAGAGGGACAGGACCGACTTGGCACTCCCAAGGGGGAGCCGCCAGGGTGGCTTCACAGGCCAGCTCGCACCTGGATTGTTGGCCTTCTCCAGGAAACCCTGGAGTGCTTGCGCTGGGCGCCAAGGTTGCCGCGCCTCCCTGCGACGCGGAGCAGGAGGAGGCGGATGGGGAGGAGGGATGAGGGAGGGGGAGGAGGAGGAGGAGGAGGAGGAGGAGGAGGAGGAGGAGGAGGAGGAGGAGAAGGAGGAGGAGGAGGAAAAGGAGGACGTGTCGCCAAAGCTCTTCGGGGAAACCCTCCAGTTCGCACCTGGAGCGTGGGCCCCCTCTCCAGGGAACCCTCGGGGTGCCTTCGCGCTGGGCGCCAAGGCTGCCGCGCCTCCCTGCGCCGGGGAGGATGAGGAGGCGGAGGCGGAGGAGGATGAGGAGGAGGCGGAGGAGGAGGAGGCGGAGGAGGAGGAGGAGGAGGAGTTGGGGAGTTGGGGAGGTGGAGGAGGAGGGAGGAGAGGAGGAGGAGGGAGGAGAGGGGGGCAGGAGGAGGAGGAGGAGGAGGAGAAGAAGGATCAGGGAGGAGGAGGGGAGGAGGAGGAGGGAGGGGTAGGAGGAGAGGGGAGGAGAAGAGTAAGGAGGAGGAGAGGAGGAGGAAGATGAGGAGAGGAGGAGGAGAGGAGGAGGAAAGGGGAGGAGGAGGAGGGGAGGAGGAGGAGGAGGAGGAGGAGGAGGAGGAGGAGAGGAGGAGGAGCAGGAGGAGGAGGAGGGGGAGGAGGCGGAGGAGGAGGAGGAGGGGGGGTGGAAGTGAGAGGCGGCAGGCCTTCTCGGAAGGCGGCACGCCTTCTCGGAAGCGGCCCTCCGGCCTTCTGGGAGAGGCCCTCTGTGACATCGGTCGGGAGCGCCTTCGAGAGATTCTGAGAAGGCTGGCGGCCTTCCGAGCCGAGGAGGAGGAGGGGGAGAGGGAGGGGGAGGGGGAGAAGGAGGAGGAAGATGAGGAGGAGGAAGATGAGGAAGAAGAGGAGGAGGAGGAGGAAGATGAGTAGGAAGTCGAGGATCCAGTATTCTGGAAGTCCTTCGTTCTCGAGGAGGCCCGCCTCCCTCTCACGTTTCCCCCTGGGCCCAGGGCGCGCCGGCGACGTGCAGGACTGCCGTGCCGAGCCACGTGCGCCCAAGTGTCGTTCCAAGTGTCGTTCCAGCTGCCGCCCAGGCTGACGCTGAAGCTGAAGCTATCTGAAGCTGAGGGGGCTGAAAGCCTAGGAGAAAGAGAAAGAGGGAAACGCGGGCCACCTTGGGCCACGCCCCAGGGCAGGGCCACCACGGCCCCCGCCCGCCCAGGGGACCCAGCGGGGAAGGGCCAGAGCCTCAGAGCCCCCATAGGGCCACACACCTGGGGGCGAGCTGCCGCCCAGGCTGGCCACGTCGCAAGTGTTCAGCTGCCTCGCAGGTCCTTCGCGATGGAGGCGATCCCCGCTGAGCAGGCAGTACAGATAGGCGTGAAAGCGGCTCCAGCACAGCGGATCCCATGCAATCCGGGACGGAGTACTCAGTTCCCGATTGCACAAGAGGTGCGATGCTCGTTACGGTCGTTAGTCTCAAAACCCAAACAGGGGGGCAGGATCTCAACGACAAGTGTTTGCTCATCCATTGCGTGTGCGCGTGTGTTCTGATCCATCGTTCGGTAATCCGCCGATCCGGCGTGTGAGTGTCTGAGAGCGTAGGCTTGAGCTCGCTCAAGCTTCGCTCTGCCGGGGGGGGGACCTCATCCGACCTCATCCGACGCATTCAGTGCTCGGCACCCTTCCCCTCGACGCCGGCCCCCACCCCCCCCGGTGCTGCCCCCCCCCCCCCAGGCCCCCCCCCCTGGTGCCCGCACCTGTGCTCGGCACCCCCTCCCCGATGCCCCCCCCCCCGATGGGCTGGGCCGCGCCGCCGCGGGCGGGGGGGGCCCACGCGCGTTCGGCGGCGACGCGGCGACGGGAGAAAGAGAGGGGGGGGTCCTCCTCTTTCTCCTCTTCTTCCTCCTCCCCCTCCTCCCCTTGCCCCTCTACTCCTCTGCCCTCGCCACCTCCTCCACGCGCATCAAACCTTCGAACGTCAGTCGACGAAGTGCCCTGATGCGAAATCAGGCGACCCGCGGATCAGGAACGCCCCAAAAACGAGTGGGAGGATGGTGACTTGCGGACGGAAAAAACAGAATTGGCGGGGGATGAGAAGGGGCGAGTAACATTAAACATGGAAAAACGGTGGGCGAACATTTACAAAACAACGTACAACTCGATATCACATAAAATCATGTTATCCAAACTCATTTCACTGCACATCTCGAACATCCACGAATATTGAAAGACACGTGACACGCCAAATATGAGAATCCAGGAAAACCAACGATGGTGGTAAACCGCTCTAGTAGCATAAACGCTGAAGCTGGTACCGCTGAGGTCGTTGAGGGGGCGCGGGCGCGCACGGCCTCAACGAGGAGGACCCCTGCTTCATGCAAGTCCGGACCTACCCAACACACACACACACACACACGTTGTGGCGTCGCGGCCACGCGCGAGGCGGCACGACGTAAGGCAAGGTTGAACGAAGAGCGGCGCGCGGGCCGGGCCGATTTGATCAGCAAATGCAGGCATATCGCATCATGGTTTTGGTATGCATCGATGTATGTACATATACGTATGGTACCTGCTCATGCGCATCTGCAGGCGGAATTTGGCTGCGCAGCCTGCCACACAAAGATCGTATCAACACCGTTTGCGAGAACACGGATATTCGAACGCCTAGAAATGATACATACAGACTTGCCGAACAGAGCTTGGCTCCTCCTGGGTTCCCGCTGCCGATCGGCCCGTGTTGTACGCATGTTCGAGCAAAGAAAACTGGAGCTGGGGAAACCACTCAAATGAACGCAACGCAACGCCGCAATTAAACTCACTTGTCTGCTGTGATACACACAGGGATGTATGCTATGCGCTGCGGTCCCATGCAATCCAATGACACGCGCTACGCTGTATGTGATCACATGGTAGACCGCACTATGGCGAAGCAATTCATAGCGTAGCCTTGAATCGCCTAACACGCATGGCAAGCGAGATGCAGCGAGGAACAACCTAGGCCACCCAGGGTCCACAGTGATGGTTGGCTGGTTAGTTGGCTGGCTAGTTGGCTTGCTGGCTGCTTGTCATGCTGGTTGGCTGCTGTTTGGCTAGCTCCCTCGTTGGCTGGCCCAACCAGCCAGCCAGCCAGCTGGTAAGCCAGCCAACCAGCCACCCACCCTGCAAGCCAACCAGCCAGCCAACCACCCTTCAGAACAGCCAGCCAGCCAACCAGCCAGCCAACCAGCAAGACGAGCAGCAACCAACCAACCAGCCAGACAGCCAGCCAACCAGCCAGCCGTTCAGCATGCCAACCTGTCAGCCAGCAAGCAGCCAACCAAGAGGCCACCCAGCCAGGGAGCCAGCCAGTCAGCCAGCCAGCCTGCAAAAGGAGCGCTAACTTTCAGTCGAGCCGCATCAAGACAAGACTTCTCGAACGAATGGCCAAGCAATCAACAGCCAGCCAGCTAACCCACCAGCCAGCCAGCCAGCCGGTCGGCGTCTGGTGGGAAAGGGGGGAAGGAGGCGGGAAGGCAGCTGGATAAGTGCGGCGATCCAAGCCCGTTGAGTATCAGGTTCAGGTAGTCGGTCTCCCTCAGCAGGAAGATGACGCCAACGATCAGGAGCACGAAGAACATGATAGTGCGGGCTACGATTACGAAGAAGAGGGACACCCGGTGCATCTTGGTGATGCCCTTGATCTTGTATTTGACCAGGTCGTCGTCGTGAGGATCTACTTCGGTCTCCCGACCCTTCCCGCTTCAAGACACTGCAAGTGCACGGGTCGCGGCCGACTTTGCCTCGTCGAGAGAAACCGAAATCTTTGACCCCTCTGCATGCAAGAGAAGAGCGCTAACTGCCAGGGCGAGGGCGATGCTTCGAGTTGACGCTGCCGCGTGGTGGGTATCAAATCATCGAATGATGATCTCAGCTCACATCATGCTTCCCATGCCCCTTCCCCTCCCCTTTCCGAGGAACACAATACGCGGGTTGGGGGTCTAACAAGCAACGTCGGAATTAAGAACAGGAAACGATTTCGAGAACACCCTGCGTTTCCATAGGCAACCTCCATGAAGTTCTCGGCGTGCTCGTCCACGAGCGCCTACTCAATTATTTGTATTACACCCTCACCTCAAGTTGGCACGTTCCGAAAGGACTGATGACTTCAGCTCGAGGCGGCTTCATGCACGCACGTGCGCCTTCAAATTCCATGCACAGCAAGACCCCGACAGCGCTGATGACCCTAGCTTGAGCCCACTGATTGCATGTACGCGCGCCCGCAACTTGCACGCACGGCGAGACACGTTCGCCGTGGGACCGCGACCGTTGCCGTCCTTGGCTGCCACGGCTGCGGCCCCCTAAGATCCCTCCCATCCAGCGAGGATAGAAGTCCTCGAACATCGTACGGTCGAAGCTTTGGCGGAAATCCCTTGGCCCCAGTGGTGCGCCTAGATGTGCGAGGGAAGCCCGAGGAACAACTAAGGCGGCAGGACTGAAGGAATCCCTGAGCCCCTTCAAAAACTAGAGTGGCCCCCTTTTCGAAGCTTGACAATGCTAATCCTACCTGCCCCAGGGGCACAACCCCAACCACAGACTGCGAGGAGCAGGATGAGCCCACTGGCGACGCGGGCCCACAACAACGCCCTGCGAACACTGGGCTACATCGAACCCGGCTGCATCGGTACAAAGTCGGCATCCAATCGGATCGGCCGCCGCAAGATGCACAACAACACCATGCAAGCATCGGGCCGGCTCTGGTGGCCGGCATACTGGACGATCGAATCGGATCGGGCCGTCTGGGATCGATCTATCAACATCCGGCCGATCGGCTCGAACTGGTCCTGCTAAGGGAGGGCCGCGGCCGAGGCCGACTGGCAAGACAGCCAGCCACTTGCTGCGCGGGTCACGATACTCGATGTCAGCCATGGTTCCCGAAGTGGTTGTGGTGTAGTTTCAAATGGTTGAAAAGCTGGCAGGCTATCCAGTTAGGGCCACCACCCCAACGGGGCAAGGTCTCAAACCAGAAAGGGTGTGGGGGCACCACGCCTTACACATACGCTATCGGTATGTACGTATGTATGCATGTATGTTTGCATGTATATATGTGTGTGGATGCATGTATGTACGCATGGCTGATTGTATGTATGATGCATGAATGAAAGAATGTGTGTTTTATCCCTGTCCGTTCGATTACGTAGTGTATCTCCTAGTCCCTACATACATACATACATACGTATATATACATTATGTACATACGTATGGGGTGCCATATCCCTCGATTCTCTCAAACAGTGCTTGCACTCAGGGGTCCGTACTTGGTTTTCAAAGAACTGGGCTGGTTTGCCGCCCCGGCCAACATGTAGCCGCCCAGACGCCGCTCTTCGCCGCCTCGTCCTGGACTCGTGTGCCGCCCAGGCCGCCCAGCCAGCTGAGTGCCCAGAAAACATGACAAACATATGGTTTTGCAACGTCACGGTTCAAAGCACCTGCGCTCGCGCTCGTGTGAATTCTTAAGGAAACCATGCATCATGCGGGCCACTCTCGCGCGTCGGCGGGCACGCATGCCGAACTTCATTCACAACCTTCATCACCGACGCGAAGATGCAATCGTCCTCGTCGAATTGATTAACATCGGCGCCGTCACTGGCGTTGCCGTCGTCGTTGTCATCGTCGTCACCGGCATCGCTACTAGCATCCTCGCGTCTACCACTGTCGACGTTGCCATGATACCGCGCCCGCCCTAGTCGCCGACTCGCACCGAGCTGCCTGCTGGGAAATGCCCAACGGTCAGCGCCACCGCGGCCGCGTCGGTCACGCCAAACCAGCTGGCCGCTGCGCGCGCGAGCATGCGCGGGCTGGCGCGGCCGCAGGGACGCACCAGCCATCAGCAATCACTCATCGCAATCGCCGCCGCATGGGCTGATGCAAACCAAGTTGCGGGTTGATGGGTGGGATGGTTTCACGAGCAGTGGAGTTGACAACTAACTGCGGACAAAGATACGTTCTCATTTCCCAAAAGAGACTCTACCCCCTCCCCCCCGGGGTTATCGGTACCCCTTTTCGTATCGCAATGTGCCTATGATTCTTCCCCATCGTCCATCCTAGATATGAACTCGTACCATCCCAGCCCAACTGGTATCGACCCCCCCGTCAGCCTCTTGTGAAAAATACGCGATCGCGTTCGTTACACAAAATCGAATATAGAAATCAGCAATTTTCGAAGATCCCTTGCAAACGAAGTGCACACGCGGGCGACGTCGCGCGCGCTCTTGCAAACCCGAAAGAAACGCGCTTCGCGCGCGCATGTTGAAATCGGTCGAGCGCCCTTCCGCGCGTGCCGTCGCGAGAATCCATTACGAAAACAAGCGCGACATGCACGCGCCCACGCCCTTGCGCGCGAGTGCCGAAACCCTTCAACAACCTTCGGTGCCGTAGCGATTTCAAACCGAATGCCAAAACAAAATTTAAAAACGAATGGATTCGCAACATCAGGTTTTAAAAAAGCCTGCGCGCGCGCTCTTGCGAAGTCGTAAGAAAGCAATTTTTCAACATGGTCATTGAAGTATTCCAGGCGGGCCTCTCGCGCCGCGCGCCGACATCTTTCGCGCGCCCTTGCGCGCGTGTTTTCTTTGGGGTGGGCACGATCCGAGCTAAATAAAACAATGCGGGTCGCTCTCGCGCGTCGGAAGTGCGCGCGCGTCGAACTCCTTCCAGCGCCTTCATCGCCGACACGATGGTGCCGTCATCGTCTTCGGCGCGATCAGCACCGGCGCCCACACTGGCCGCACCTTCGTCGGTGCAACCATCGCCACTATCATCGCCACTATCACCATCGCGTCTACCGTCGTCGGCGTTGCCATGATACCGCGCCCGCCCATGTGGCCGACTCGCGCAGAATTGCCCGCTGGGACGCGCCCAGCGGTCAGTGCCACCGCGGCCGCGTCGGTGGTTCCAAGCTAGCGACCATCGGCATATACCCAACAAAAACCATGAAAATCTTCCAAACGGGCATCTCGCGCCGCATCCCGAAAACATTTGAATACCATAACGTGCGACTTGGGGGGGGGGGGGGCGGGCGCGATCCGCGTCAAATATCACCGCGCGGGCCACGTTCGCGCGTCGGCCGCGCGCGCGCGTCGAACTCCTCCCAAAACCTTCATCGCCGACGCGAGGACGCCGTCATCGTCGTCGGATCGGCGCCGTCACTGGCCGCGCCATCGCTGCTGTAATCATCGTCGTCAACGCCGCAACTATCATCGTCGTCGCGTCTACCATTGCTGGCGCTGCCATGATAGCGCGCCCGCCCAAGCCGCCGACTCGCACTGAAGTGCCTGCTGGGGTGCGCCCTGCGGTCAGCGCCGCCACGGCCGCGCCAGTCGCGCCAAACTAGCTGGCCGCTGCGCGCGCGGCTATTTTTCAACATGGTCATGGAATTGTGCGAAACGGGCCTCTCGCGCCGCGTGCTTTAGGGGCACGATCCGCGTCGCATGAAACAATGCGGGCCGCTCTCACGCGTCGGCCGCGCGCGCATGTCGAACTTGTTCCAGCGCGTGCATCGCCGACGCGAGGGCGCCGTCATCGTCTTCGGCGCGATCAGCATCGGCGCCCGCACTGGCCGCGCCTTCGTCGGTGCAAGCATCGTCACCATCATCGCCACTATCATCATCGCGTCCACCATCGTCGGCGTTACCGCGATACCGCGCCCGCCCAAGCCGCCGACTCGAACAGAATTGCCCGCTGGGATGCGCCCAGCGGTCAGTGCCACCACGGCCGCGTCGGCGGTTCCAAACTAGCTGGCCGCTGCGCGCGCGCTAGGGTTGGCGCGGCCGCAGAGATGCACCAGCCAACGCCAAGCATGCACCGCTATCGCCACCGCGTGGGTTTTGCAAACCAAGTTGCGGGTGGGCGGGGTGCGATGTCTGCAAGAGCATGGGATGTGTCAGCCCCTTTGTTAAAATCATCTGCGCCGCATGAGTGGCACCACATAGAGTGCACCACAGCCATTGCGCCGCAGAGATTGAGCCACACCTCCTCCGCAACGTGGATTGCACGCACAGATTGTACCACATAGTTTACATAATAGTTATTGGACCACCATCTATGGCATTATCTCGCTTCTCCTTTGCTAAAAGAAATTCGCTTCTACCGCCCCTGGGTCATCCGCCCCCCTTTTCGCGTTGCAACTCGCGTGCGATTCTGCCCCGCCGCCCATCCTGCATGTGAATGCATATCGCCCCGGCCAGGCCGGCATCGACCCCCCCGCCCCCCTCCTCTGCAAAGAGTACCACGCGCGCGCACTCGTTTATGAAGATTAAGCAAATCCCAGAAATCCCTTGCAAACCACATGGACAAACTGCACGCGCGCGCGTCGTCGCGCGCGCAAGCAAGCCAGCATCACCAACAACGTATCCCGGCAAAGCAACCTAACAGCGATGCGTAGGGGCATATCTGGAAGCATTCCCCTTAAGATTCAGATCAGAACCCAGTTGTAGCATTCTGCTGTTCTCGCAGTCGTAGTCGCATTCGCGATGACAGTCGCAGTGGCAACGGCAGTCGCAGTCACAGCCTCAGCCTCAGCCTGCCTCAGCCTCAGCCTCAGCCTGCCTCAGCCTCAGCATGCTTCAGCCTCAGCATCAGCCTCAGCCTGCTTCAGCCTCAGCCTCAGTCTGCCTTCAGCCTCGGCCTCAGCCTCAGGCTGCCTCAGCCTCAGCCTGCATCAGCCTGAGCCTCAGCCTCAGCCTGC